AGTCTCGACACGGTCATGACTACTACACACTATCACGGTTACCCTTGGATCATGGGGCAGACGAAGAAGGTCAATCCAATATCACTTTCGGTGGCTAGATTGTAGATGAAGCAAAGTTTAATTTGCTATTGTAGTCGATTATGTGACTTATAAGGTGGTTACCGCGTCAAGGCTGTACAATACACTGCCTGAGTTCGAGTCCCGCTGGGGGTGCCAATGATACCTAGGCAAGGTGGAAGCTGCAGTCCACTCCAGTCTGAATAAGAACACCTTTTGAGAAGTAAAGTTGCGTGAAATTTAATGGGAACATGAGGCCTACTCAGAACAATATTGGAAAATTGAACCAACAATCCGTCATCACCCTGAAAGAAGTAGGATGAATATAGTTATTATTCAAGATCTGCTAGCGGTTTAGAAAGCCTACTTAAAAATGGAAAGTTGTATAATGAGGCAACTTTCGGTGGTCTCTTCCGAATCCATCAAGTTGAGATCTCATCGAAATGACGTTGCGCTCGTATCAATGATTCCAAATCTATGACTTTTCTGTGTCATAGTGCCTTGCATGCCAATATCCACATGCTATAGTTGCCTACTTGGTTCGACTAGACTCAGTGTAGACGTCTTCGCTTCAGTTCCGATTGCCCCTCATAGGCCTGTTCATCCTGTTAAAATTAAATGCTTAAGTAGTATCATTTTGCTGATCTTGCCGCTTCTTGATCTCCTCCGAGTTCGCCTAAGCAATACGCAAAGGTTTTTCTAGTTTTCCCTTATTCCTGGTAATTAGATTTCTTTAAGTCAGGATATAAGTGGTCGCTTTTCTTGTGTTTCCCTCTATATTCACCATATGTGGCCAGCCGACCTGCTTCAGTCCATTCGATTTTGTGATTCGTCCGTACAGTGTTCTGCTATTTTGAACCGTTCCTTATCACTATTTCTACAGTTTTTAGTACTGTTTGGTTCGTAGGCTGATTTGTCCTCCCGTTTCACCAATATACTTAAGCATATTGCGCGACAAATTATAAGGTAGTCTAGTCCGTCCACCTTCTCGTATTGCATCAGCAAGCTTGTAAAGAATGCTACCGTTTTCGTGATTAATTTGGTATACCATTTTAT